AAGATATAGAATCAACCCAGATGCCCCTCAGTAGACAAATGGATCAGGAAAATGTGGTATATATACACAATGGAATTCTATGCCTCCATCAGAAAGAATCACATGTAAGGAAATAGAAAGGCTTGGAAAAATTATATTAAGCTAAATAAGCCAGAGCCAAAGAAACATAGGGTGCCTGTTTCCCCTCATTCGTAGTAATTAGAATGTTCTTATAAATCTACAAGTAAACATAATGGATTGTAAAAGACAAAAAAAATACTTGGACATGGTAAATTGAACAGGGCTCTAAACATTCACGCAGTAAGACCAAAGGAGGATATTTTTAGAAAAGGATTACAAAGGCTCAATAGCTATGTGCATAGGACCATATAAAATGATGTTTATTGAAATGAACTCTGAGACATGGAAGCAGAGTTGTTTTGTTATTTTACTTGTGTGTGTGTGTGTGTGTGTGTGTGTGTGCTTCTTTTTCCCCCTTGTCACTGTTTTTGACTTCTGTACTTTGGGGAGTAGAAGGGGAGTACAGAAAGGTGAACTAGTATAGCAGTGATACTCACTAGGCATCATGTTGGAAATGAACTATACGATTTGTGAGAGAGGAGGATAGGGAGGAGAAAGATGGGGAAAAAACAAAGTAATAGATGACACTGTTCAAAAAGAAATGTGCTGATGAATTACCTGACTTATTTAACTAACTTTAATTTATTTAACCCCTCTGTTCATCACGTTTACAATAAATATTAAAAAAAACCAATCGTCCATCTCAGGGTGTGAATCCTGAGAGTCAGCAGCTGTGCTACGAAGCAAGAAACTATGTTTTCATCTTTTTGTTATGACCAAAGGAGAATGGGCTCATCCACCTGCCTTTCTCGCTTACCACTTCTCTAATATGAGGATAAAGAGAGAACTAGTGGGAATCAATTTATCTAAGTTCCTGCATTTAAGCACCATATGCACTTCCTCGTGTAATTTTCCATATAACAGAACAAGTTATGTGATTTTTTCTTCCTTTTCTGTCCTGAGCACGAAGCCCAGATCTTCCAGGCAGCACTTGATTGCAGAGCTAGCTACACCCCTAGCCCTCTGATCTTGTTCCTTCCCTTGATGTTAATGTTTGCCATAAAGTTATATTTTAAAATGTGACATGACAATAAAAAGTGACCTAGGCTTTCATAATACTTCCAGAAAGATAAATCCAATAGTACTTTGCTGTGATTAATTCACAGAAAGCTTCTCCTACTAGTGAACTCAAATCCTCTTTGCTAAGCCAGGCGCAAGTGGCTCAGTAATCCTAGCTACTCAGGAGGCTGAGATCCGAGGATCTCAGTTCAAAGGCAGCCTGGGCAGGAATGTTTGTGAGACTCTTATCTCCTGTTAGTCACCAGAAAACCGGAAGTGGTGCTGTGGCTCAAGTGGTAGAGCGCTAGCCTTGAGCTCAAGAGCTCAGGGACAGCACCCAGGCCCAGAGTTCAAGCTCCACGACTGACCAAAAAAAAAAAATCCTTTTTCTAAAAGTTCAGAGGAGACTCAGATGAGCCTAGTTATTCAAGATTACTATGATCCAGATATCTGAATTACAGGGATTACAATTTCAGGACCTAGTACAAAGTCCCACTGAATTAGAACATGTATCTGACCAAGTCCCTAGGGAATGTTTCTGTACATTAACATTGGATGATCTCTGTTCTACTAGAGTATTCATTTCTCAGTTTATTTTTATTATTATTATTATTAATTTTATTTTTTGTATAATGAATAAGAAAGTCTTTTAGAAAAAAATGTTTTTGATCATGGGGCTTGAACTTTGGGCCTGGGCACTATCCCTGAGCTCTTCAGCTCAAGGCAAATGCTCTGCCACTTGAAGCACAGCACCACATTTGGATTTTTGGTAGTTAATTGGAGATAAGAGTCTCATGGACTTTCCAGCCTGGGCTGGCTTTGAACTATGATCTTCAGATCTCAGCCCCTTGAGTAGCTATGATTACAGGCATGAACCACCAGTGCCCAGCAGAAAAATAATGTTAAAGTTCTATTTCTACTTAAATTTTTTTATACAAGAAGTATAACACCCCCTATATAATTTATCCACAACTCCAAAGAGTCACTAATAAATATTGGACTTGACTGCTTTATAATATGTATGTCCTTAAAGACTTTAGTACAACAGGCATAAAAGACCCGGTCTCCACAAAAGGCCTGGGGAACTGTAGTTTAGCTGAAAGGAAGTATGGCTCACAAACTCATGACCCTTAGCATGTGAGCAATTACAATCCAGGATCAGCACCCATCATATGACATCTGCTAACATACAGAAAAATAAAGCTCCTTTTATTACCAGTGTCTCTTCTCATCATGCTTGTCAATTTATGTGGCACATTTGAGATTATTTTTATAAATATAAATTAGACATGGTTGTAACACCTCTGTTGTAATGGCTTATAAGGACTAAATATGGAATGGCTCAGCCAGTAGTTGACTTCAAAGCCTGAAAATTTACAGTTATAGCTTAGAGTTAGTGCCCTTCCTTATATTAAGAACAGTTGTAAAGACTTATCTTTGGCCTAGAAACAAAGGAAGATGACCAGAGTTTTCTCTTACCTGAAATGTTTTGCTTCTTGAGACATAACAGTTCAACTACTGTTCTTGGAGCAGAAGTCTCATAGTTTCTTTTAGTAGTTAAATAATCAATGTGAGAATAAGATTGAATGTAATGTTTACAAACAAAAACCAAAACAGCAGAGTTTTTTGGGTCAACAACGATAAAGAACCACTTCTGAAGCTGCACATTTGCTCCATTTTACTCCTTTGTTGGCAAACTCATTACTTGCATTTGGAACTCTATTTGTGTCAGTGTCTATTTCTCAGTAACCTCTCTGTTTAAACCAGTATGTCAGCTGAAAGTTTCACTATGATAATGAAGACTTCCACAGAATCAATTTAAGAGGTCACCAGAACTACCCTGTTTAAACTGAAGCTTTCTCAGAGCCACCGCTTTCCTAGACTTAACAGAAAATGCTTGCAAGAAAGGAAGTTTTGGAAAATGCACAGAAAAACAGCATTAGCCATTTTACTTTGATAACTCTGGTGAGGTATTTTGGTATTCTGACTTCTACCTCTGTGCTCTACCCTGAAAACATCACATTGTTGATAGTATTTCTGACCAAATAGTGGAGATTAAGGGGTCCCCTCCTATACCTTCTATTATTATACAACTTTTATTATTTAAATTAATCTCATGATGGGAGAAGAATAGAAATTCTTGAGTAATGGACAATATACTCGGAGATATTTTTCAAGCTTTTGTGAGATGGAACAGCAACTGGCCAGAATGAATAAAGATGCCAGATGTGGAGGTCTGCATCATGAAGGGAGAATGCCAGGGGAAAGCTGGAGGAAGTTACAGATGAAGCAGAATGTGCAAAGACACACATTTCTAATGGGGTCACCTGGTGTGCTAGGGTAAAAGTCTGAGGGAAAAATACTTTGGAATGCTACCGTAGTTACTGAGTTCTAACAGTGGCAGGACAGAAAATCAGAACAGTTTTCTCACTGAGTTTATAATGACTCTGTTTTTTCAAAGTTTTAGCAAAGATTTATTTTAGTAAAACAAGACAAAGTGGGGACAAATGAGAAAGGTAGAAGCATCTCTTGTTTTAGATGAAAGACCTTGCTCATGTAACTGTAACCCCTCTGTACAGTATTTTTACAATAAAAAAACATCTAAAAAAAGGAACTTTGGAGAAACCAATATACTAATTCACTGTTTTATCTGTATGAATGCAAAAAGACTAATAATTATTTACCTCAATATATAGAATAAATTTAGTTTCACCATTTTGCTCTAGAATTTAAGTCTCCAGGAACCTAAAATCTGGCTCTGTCTAGAGTACATAGCTCTTTTAGTAATACTCAGGCTTTTACCATTTATGCATTGTTAGAATTGAAATGATACAGTTCATAAGCAGATGTCATATTAGGAAAATTAACCAGATTATCCTGAACAAATCACAGAATTAGGGTGGTTAATAGCATTAGGGATGTTATTTTAACGTTAAGTGAACCAGAGAAAATCAGATGCTAATCTATATTTCAGAATGTCAAAAGAAGATTTACAAATCTCCACAGGTAGCAGCTTTCTAGTGGTTTAGAGATCATCTGTCAATGATTTCTAGATAAGTAAGAAAATTGGTAAGAATCAACAATGGATTCAGATTTAGAGCTCAAAATATTATGTCTGGCTACCCAAGTACTGTGGGTGAAGTTGAAGAATAGAGCTTCATTTTAGTTCTTTATATTTTGTTAAAAGTGCTTTCATTTTGCATTATTGCTTAGAAGGGTTAAAATAATCTTTTAAAACCAGTAACTCTGGGAATATAAATATATATTTAAAATAGCCTGTAAATAACATATATATCTAGTAAATGTAATATATAATACATAATAATATACAATGTTATATAAAATAGATATAATATTTTATATATAATATATTAAATAGTATATAAATATATTGGTATACATTTTAAAAATATAAATATTGAAAATAGTACCACTGTCAGATAAGCTAAAAAGGTATAGTTAGGACAGTAAAGTAAAAATAGTTCAAAAGCCGGGTGCTGGTGGCTCACACTTGTAATCCTAGCTACTCAGGAGGCTGTGATCTGAGGATCCACAGTTCAAAGGCAGCCCGGGCAGGAAAGACCGTGAGACTCCTATCTCCAATAAACCACCAGAAAACTGGAAGTGGCGCTATAGCTCAAGTGGTAGAGCACTAGCCTTGAGCTGAAGAGCTGAGGGACAGTGCTCAGGCCCGGAATTCACGACCAACCAAAAAAAAAAAGTTCAAAGTTTTGGAATAGAAAATTCCATAGAACTGTAACAAAAAAGAATCAGAGTTTTGATATCAAATCTGAGTGATGGTCCATACCTTAAAGACAGACATCTTGTGGTCCAAATAAATGGCATGAACATAGTACTGTTAATATGATAGTTGCCCTTACCTGCCAGGGAGGACATATTGATAATGACGCCACCTTGACCTCCATGCTGCTTACTCATGTAATCCAAACCAAGGTAGGTTCCACCGATAACAGAAACCTAATCCAGACATTAAAATGAAAAAATAGCAGGAGAGCCATTAGTATTTTTATCATACATTCATGTGATAAAATTTATTGTTGCTATTTTATATGTCTGTAGAGAGTTCTGCAAATATTATTGATGAAAAGTCTTGTAAGTTTTTCAACAGAAAGCTAGTCATTAAATTCCTGCAGTCCCTTTTATACTTGCCTCACAGTTATTAAGTTTTGAATTAACTTTTATTTTTTCCCCAGTTTTAGGTGCTGAATTCAGGATCTTGCACTCGCAGCTTTTTTACTGATGAGGTTCCGACACTTGAACCATGCTTCCAGTCTATTTTACTACTTTATGGGAGATGAAGTTTAACAGACATTTCAGCCTAGGCTGGGATTGATCAGCAATTCTTCCAATGACAGCCTGTGCCACAACACCTGTACTTGACTTTTAAAAAACAATAACAACAAATCCTACATCTAATTTCCAATGGTCAAAGAATAAAGAGATTATTTCATTACTGACAAAAATAAAAAAATGATATTAAGTGAAATAAGCCAGGCCCAAAGAAACATAGGTCCCATGGTTTCCCTTATTTGCCATAACTAGTATATCTGAGACAAGCAGAAAAGGTCAGATAAGTTGATGTTAGGTGAAATGAACCCCGAGATACAGATTCAAAATTTTTTTCTTTTTTGTGGTTGTTTCTAACATATATACAAGATGATTTCTTTGTTGCTTTGTATGTCCCTTCCCCATGGTATAACCCTTGCTTTCATTGTATTTTTTTTTTTTGGGTCCGGTCGTGGGGCTTGAACTCTGGGCCTGGGCGCTGTCCCTCAGCTCTTGAGCTCAAGGTTAGCGCTCTACCATTTGAGCCACAGTGCCACTTCCGGCTTTTTTTCTTTTTGCTTATGTGGTGCTGAGGAATTGAACCCAGGGCCTCAGGCATGCAAGGCAAGCGCTCTACCACTGAGCCACCTTCCCAGCTCTTTCATTGTATTTGATGTTGGTATAATTTGTGGAGGGGAAGAAAAAAAAAACAAATAATTTAAATAGGGATTCAGGTGGACCCATTGCAACAATGAGATGTACAAGTCGTTATGTTGAAAAAGGAACTTTATAACTTTGGGGGGGGTGAGAGGGAGGATGGGAAGGGATGGGAGGGGGAAACGAGGAGGCAACAACGCTTGATAAGAAATGTACTCATTATCTTCCCCATGTAATTGTAACCCCTCTGTACAGTATTTTCACAATAAAAAAATTAAAAAAGAATTTTTAAAAAATCAAATGAGCACACTTATTTAATAACTTTGGTTATGAAGAGACAATTATTATATGTCATACTGAAATAATTTATTTGTATTGGAAATTTTAATTGCTTCCATTAATTATAGCAGTCTTTACCTTAAAACCACTCTCCTGGGCTGGGAAGGTGGCTCATTGGTAGAGTGCTTGTCTTGCATGCATGAGGCCCTGTGTTTGATTCCTCAGCACCACATATGCAGAAAAAGCCAGAAGTAGTGCTGTGGCTCAAGTGGTAGAGCACTAGCCTTGAGCTGAAGAGCTGAGGGACTGCCCAGGCCCAGAGTTCAGGCCCCATGACCGACAAAAACGACAACAACAACAAAAACAAACAAAAAAACCCCCACTCTCCTAAGTTCTTCCATATTGAGAATAATGCTCAAGTAGTAAAAATAAGTGGATATGGTAAATCTGTTGTTTATATTTCTCATCAGGAGGAATAATGTCTTCCTATGAAACACACACACATACACACACACACTTTTTCACTGTTGACACTTTCAATCTCTTATTCTTCCATCTCTCCTATCTTATTTCTCTCTATTTTGCTGCTCCTCTCAGTTTATTTATCTCTCCTCTATCATAGTGCAATAAAAATGTTTGGAATCTCAATCATGTAACTTTGTTTTTCAGGTCTTCACATTTTCTCCAATCCAGTTCTCAAAAAATATTGAGTGGCACACTTTTTTCTGAAACCCCCTTTTATCCTTTATTTTTTGTGCTAATTTTTCCATTTTTTTTGTTTCAGTGCTAAAATTATTGTCTTCTCCCTCGTTAGAATTATCGATATTTATAAACCTTTTCTACTGTAGTTCAACTGGATCTTCAGATATAATAGACTAGTAAGGGCAGCAGTTACCAATTTAATTTTTAATCAGCTTCCTTGGGAGTCAACAAGAGGAACACATTTATGAGCATCATTTCTATCCATTTCCTCAACTTCTTATTAGAGTAGGCAGAAGAATCTGCTTCACACAAAAATAAAAATGAGAATATGAGGGCTAGGATGTAGCTCTCTGGAAAGCACTTGCCTAACAAGTACAATGTCCTGGGTTCAAGCACAAGTACCAAACAAACAAACAAAAAAACATGAAAAAGCAAAAGACAAAAAGCCCTGAGTTGAAGCCCCAGAACCAGCACCAAAAAACAAAACCACCACCACAACAATGAGAACATGTAGGTGTTCATACTGAAATGGTAATATATTTTACTGAACACATGAACATTATGCTTTATCATTCACATACAATTATGGTCTATTTCACAGTCCTTAAAGGTAGTGCATTTATCTTCCCTCTTTTACAAGTTGGTAACTTAGAGATCAGAGAAACTATTCACCACGGTAGATTTAGGATTGAACTTTAGTTCTGACCCCAACACATACTATTTCTAGATTAAATCATTCACCAAGGAATTTAACACCCATTAGCTGTATCTTGATTAGATTATAATTTCCCCTTGAATGAGTATGAATTATTTAGGCCAATTATTAGCTCAAAAAGTTAAAAGTAGAGGAAGTGCATTACAGAACTCTCTTACCAATACTCAGTGTAAAAGTCTACCTCTGCTTCAATAGTTTTGCTCAGCCTCATTCTTCCTTGAACATTCCTTGTAAACTCTGAGCAGCTATAAATAAAACTGCTCTTACTGGCCTCAGACAAAGGAGGAAGCATAGAACAGTGAAACAAAGGCTGGGAGAGATTTTTGTGTATTTCTTGCATGGGAAGAGTGGTGACATCAGCAGAATGAAGAATAAGGAAGGGGTAACTTGATGAAAGTGGAAGGACAGAAGATACTGATCTATTAGGAAATTCCCTAAACACAGAAATAAATACTAGGATGCAAACTATCATACAATGGCAGTTCATCTTGTTAATATTAATTGAATCTCTACTCTGTAAAGACATGAACTAATAGTTTCATGTCTTAAAAGAGGTTATAATTTTGTAGCATAAATTACAAAAGTGTGAAATAATTCCAATCAATTGGTACACTATTAGAATGGAAGAAGAAATCAGTTGCAGCAGAAGTTTCTCTCTCTCTCTCTCTCTGGTTTATGAAAGAAAAGAGTAATGGTAGAGAATGCTTAGCATATGAAAGACCTTTATTTCAATCCCCAATACCAAAAGAAGAAAAAAAAAGGAAAGGGGAGATGGAAAGATTTTATATATATATAATATATATATATATTGAACTAGAGAAGTATATAACTATATATATATATATATATAGTTCTCTAGTTCAGTAGTTATCTCTGACAATGTGGAAAAACATGTAAAAAGACAAACATGGAATTGCATAAGAGCAAGGAAGCAAACTGTATCCCAAGTAGAGTTGGTAAACAAAGTTTATACAAACCACATACAAATATTTGCATTAGACTAACAGAGCTAATCACCTTGGAAAAATAAGGATTACTCGGCTTTTAATTTGCAATGGATGTAGATAGGAGAATGAACACATATTTAACATGTATCTGACTAACAAAGGTTATAGTGTTCTTTCTCTATAAATTTAAACTATCTGAAGTTAATCTAAGAAGTGGCTTATGACAGAAGGTCCCAAGAAAAATTAGTTGAATGAAAAGAGGTTACCATAAAATTTTGTCTTTTAGAATTTTTTTGTTTATAAATGATGTAGGTTCTTTCCAGCTTGCAGTGTGTTTGTCTATGCAAATATGCTGTATTATCTGAATGAAGAGAAATCATTCAAATTTCTTACTTTTGTGGGTCATTGTAGGTTTTATATTTCTCAATAGTAACACTAGGTACAGCTGATTTCTCAGAGAAAAAAATAGTAGGTGTCCACTAAAAATAGAACTTTTATATCCTAGTGACACTTAACTATAACAGTATTTGTTGTAACTTCTGATATTTCAATATCAGTAGTTACAAAATAGGAAGGCAGCTTCTCGGTGGTTTGTGCTTTCTCATGACATTGTTTGATTTTGGAAAGTGGCATATATTTATGAAAACATACTCTTTGTAATTATTTTAGTTTCCAACTGCTTACTCAAAATTTTTATTTTGTCTAGTAACAAAGAATGCAAAGAAGTATGATTTTTAATAAGTCAGAGATAACCACTAAATAAAAAGTAAAGCATGATTTTCTTACCAACAGAAAAAATTGAAACTGTCCAGTGAATTTATTAAAGGAAAGGAAAAATAATAAAAACAAACCAGTAAACATTAGAATATAAAATAGAAAAGTAAAAATAAATACGAATGGTTTAAATTCACAAATACATAAGCACAGATGAAAAAACCAGAACTCGGGGGCTGGGAAAGGCCTGGAAAGACCTTGGGTTCGATTTCTTAGTAACACATAAGCAGGAAAAAGCTGGAAGTGGCGCTGTGGCTCAAGTGGTAGAGCGCTAGCCTTGAGCTGAAGAGCTGAGGGACAGTGCCCAGGCCCAGAGTTCAGGACTCATGACTGACCAAAAAAAAAAGAAAAAAGAAAAGAAAAAAGTAGAACTCACACTACAACATCCAAAAGAGATTCAACAAAAGATTACTCATGCTTACAAAATAAGGGAATAAACAGGTAAATGTAAATAAAAAGGTATTAAAAGGAATAAGATGTATAATGGAATAAAAGGTACATGTGAAGCAAGAAAAAATTGTGGGGTACTAATATCTGGAAATATAGAATGCATCAAAATATTATAGGCAACAGATATGTAGGGTATAACTGATGAAAATAAATTAAATATCAGTAGATTCACAGCAATTTAAGCTTTGAATATTATTCATGTGTAATGGAGAGTCCAAACCAACTAAACTACTGAGAGAATAGAAAAACTGACATTTGTCATTTACATATGAAAAACTTTGTTCAGAAACTGACCAATTAAGGAGATCAAAGCAAAGGTATAATTGACCTTTGAAACAAATAGGAACATTATGTATTTATAAACTAATATGGATAAGCAAAGACACAAATATGAAATTAGGTATTAACTTAGTAAGTCAATGGTGTATTAAATATTAATATGCCATAGTAAAGTAAAATTAATCCAAGACATATAAATATTTGTAATAACTTTTCCATTTATTTTACTATGTTACTTATCTAAAGTAGAAGAAAATCAGAGATGTGACTCAAATCAGGAAATGTGTGTGTGCTTAATATTTTCAATTAGAATCCCAGAAGAATTTTGAGGCAAATTTGACAAGCAGGTTTAAAAGTTATTTTTAAAGATAATGAATCATGAACATTGGAGGCACATATTTAAAACAAATTCAAGGAAGGTGTTTGTATTCTAAACTTATACCTTTTCTTGATTACAGTAATTTAGGAATCCATCAGTTTGGGGGAGACTTTTGTACCTTAATTTAAGGAAGACTTATCTATTCTGTTTTGTGAGGTATTATAATTCTTATTACCTCCAGGAAATTACTACAGTTGAGCAATTACTCACTGGAATTTCAATTTTGGCCCAAAACATCTTGACTAAGCACTGTCTTCAAGAAATTATATTGGTTACTGGGAAGGGAACAAAAGCATAGTAGCCAGTTTTTATTTTTAAGGAATTTAATATCCTAGAAGTTTTTCAGGAAGTGGGAAGTCATTCTATTTACATTTGCATATAAATAAAATGCCTGTTTTTCAATTCTGGCAAGAGTTTGCTGAGAAAGCCTTGTGTCACCTGTGGGAGGTTTTCCTGACATGTGTTTTAGCTAAGATTTATCTTTTTTATTCTTTTTTTTTGGGGGGGGTCCGGTTGTGGGCCTGAACTCTGGGCCTGGGCGCTGTCCCTCAGCTCTTCATCTCAAGGCTAGTGCTCTACCACTTGAGCTACAGCGCTACTTCCGGCTTTTTTTTTTCTAATGTGGTGCTGAGGAATCGAACCCAGGGCCTCAGGCATGCAAGGCAGGCGCTCTACCACTGAGCCAACTTCCCAGACCCTCTTTTTTATTCTTTATTTGTAAAAGTGGCAAAAAGTTGTGGCCTTATCAAACCCCAACAGTTTATGATGCAAGTGTTCATAGAAGGAAATAGTCAACAAACTTGTGCCAAAATGTGTGAAAATTTTATTACTTAATGTTATCTTCTTTGCCATTTAGTTCAGAACTAAATGATCATCAAACCTTGTTGGAATCACACACACACACACACACACACACACACACACACACACGCTTTTTGATAAAATCTACAAAGCTTTATAACTACTTTAGCTTTGTTTTCTGCTGTTTGTCTTGCATTATATTAAGATTACACACCTGTAATTCCAGATACTTGAGAGGCAGAGGTATGAGGATTAGGGTTCATGGCCAGCCCGTGCAAATAGAGACTCTATCTGCAAATTGATCTAAAAGCAAAAGAACTGGATGTGTGGCTCAAGTGGTAGAACACTTGTCTTAGCATGAGGTCCTGAGTACAAACTCCAGTTTGACACACACACACACACACACACACACACACACATTATTTTCTAAATAAATAATTTAAGTCAAGGTTTCTTCAAAGGGTCAAATAGTGTAATAAATATTTCACCCATAGTATTCACCTGTGCCATTATAGCATAAAAGCGGCCATTGATAATGAATAACCAAACTAAATACCTGTGGCATTCTACAACATGCAGAAACTAAATTTCATATTTAGGCATTTCATATTATTTTTAACTACTTAAAATGCAAGTCATATTTTGTTTATAAATTATACAAAAACAAGTAGTAGGACATTTGGGCTGCCAAGTTAAGAGTATGCCAACTCCAGAGTGTTAGATAGCACATTACTAAATAATGTTAGGCAATAAACATACCCCAGATAGCTTACCAAATTAATTTGCAGAGTTTTCTCCCAGTTTTTCTCATTATTCACTCCAGCATTATTGACCAAAATGTCCAATCTTCCAAAGTGGTCTACCACTTTTCTAAAAGTTTCTGATAAAAAAAACACATTATAAGGATGTTTTTAGTTTATATATATATATACACTGAATTCAAACTCTGTGTCATGAAATGAAGTTTTATTTTCCTGCCTAGTAAAAACTATACTCATCTGGTGTGAGTTAATTCCTTACTTCTCAACATGTGGTTTGTGGACCAGTATCATGAGTCAGCAGTAATTGAGCTTTGTTAAACTTATAGAATTTTGACAGGCATCGGTGACTTATGCTAGCTACTCAGGAGGCTGAGATCTGAGGATCATGGTTTGAAATCAGCCTGGCAGGAAGGTCTGTGAGAACCTTATCTCCAACTAACCAACAAAAAGTTGAAAGTAGAGCTATAGCTCTCAAGTGTTAGAAAGCTAGCCTTGAGCACAAAAGCTCAGAGACAGTGCCCAGACCTTGAGTTTAAGGCCCAGAACTGACACAAAAAGCAAATCAACAGCAGCAACAACAAAGAATTTTGTAGGTAACACATAATTATTAAATTAGAATATTGCTTAACATATCTCTAGATTAGTCATATGTACATTAATGTCCTATAATCAATAATTCGAGTGAATCTTAGAAAACTGAGTATCCTAAATTGAGGTCTTGAAGGTCAAATTGAGCATCTAACATCTCTCTGTACCTGAGAAATTATTGGAGCTCTAAGACATGGAGTATGACAGACATCCATTTTTTTAGTAAAACATAACATTTTACAAGTGTTATATAAATAAATGTAAGTTTTTTTCTACTTTATTTGGTCACAATTGAGTAGATGCATAATTTGGTCATAATTCAGGTGTTTTGGTGTCCTAGTAAAAGCCTAATTTTATACAGTTGATTTTATTAGAATAATCAAACTTTTGTGGTTACTATTGCACTTTCTAATTGTATTACTAGTTTACATTATTAGTTTGTATAACCTTATCTTCATTCAGGGAAATGTGAGTGTAGAATCTAAGACCTGAAGGTCATTCACTAAATTGTCCAAACACATATCCAGTTCTTGCTAACCCTTTTCAGCCAGTTCATGCTCAGCTTTTGGACCTTAGTATTGAGAAACTCAATGTCTTTCAAAGAAGCTCTTTCAATCCTTCTGGTGATTGACGATGTTTCTGTGGGTCCTTTGCCTTTCATTGTGATTCTCTTGCTACAGACTATTGATAAAAAATGTGATTATTTCCCCATAAGATAAAAAGGTATTCTTAGATCTCTAGGCTAACATATATGCTCCTTAAAAACAAAAGATCAGTATAAAGCTTGTTTTGACTGAAACATACTCATAGAACTATTAACAGCCACAAACGTAGTTGGGAAGGTCTGGATTAATCAGTACCCAATAGGACAAATCACCATGCTTATACTTGGTCAAAAGATGTGTTGTATCCCTCACAGTGATTCTACTTGCATGGAAAATAATAATAACAAGGAAAAACAGTTCACTTATTTTTCATGGAATTTTAAAACTGTTTCTTTAGAACTCAAATTAGTGCCAGAAAAGGTATTCTGGAGAACACAAATTTTTATTTTATTCCCTCCCCCCACCCGCTTTTAGCCCAGATTCCTCTCTCCCTACACACCCCTACAGAAACTGTCCCTAATTTGTAGAAAACAAGGTTCATAAATATGCATGTGCAATTTTTTTAAATGTCCTTTTCTCATTCCCATCTCCACTGCTTTCTTTATACTCTTTTTAGTGGCAAACATCATTTTGTTTCTGACATGAACGAGGTGAAGTGACTTATAATTTAGTGCTTGCTAATGTATCTATGCGATGGCCCTTTTTATAGTTTACCTAAAACTCTCTGTGCTGTAGTCTGTTAATTTGTAGAGTAACTTAGATTTAGGCTATTTCCCTGGAATTTTCCAGCTGTGTATCTCTTTTTTTATTTGACTTTGATGAAGTTAAACAGTTTTGAAAGGGTAGGCAATATTAAATCCTAAAAGTAAAAGAATCAATGCTATGCCTATGTTTTCTCCACATTGATTTATCCTTATGGAATACTTTAGCTAGAGCCAAGGTACTGATTTGACATACTGGGGAGGACAATAATTTTGAAATCTTATAAGCTGAGATAGAAATGACATTCAGATTATCTATATTGTTTCCTTTCTTACCAGAATGGATAATGGGATTTGACATGACTCTATATCATTGAACCACAATATCATGTGCCATCAACAAAATTATCCTCTAGCAAAATATGTTCTAACACTGTGTCTACAAATATGTTCTACTCATGCCTGCTTTTCTTTGTTATAGAGCTTGATAAGCAGTTTCAGATTTTAGTTGCATAATTTCCTTTCAATTGATCTTCTTGAACTTTAGGCATCTCCTATCATAACAATTCATTTTCACCTCTTCAGAATATCTGACAAATTTAAGAAACTCACACTTCATTGTGCTTTTCCACAGGGAACACTGGGCTGAATGCCATGGACATTTTCTGACATCTGGATTTAACATGTACCTAGCTACTTATTCAGTCCTTTTGAATGAAACTTTGTGACAAACACATATCCTATATTTTTCTGCTAGAAAAGTAACACTTTTAGGTAACTTATTGGGGCTGTATTTACCACCAGTGAGTTTATTGTGTATGCTACTATTATCTATGATGCTTCACAAATGGACTGGCCTATTTTAAGAGAGTGCAGAGAAACAGAAGGCTGGTGGAAACTTTTCTTCTCCAGTTCTAACCCTGAACAGTTATTATTTTTTTCAAGTACTATCTCCAGGGGGTAGAAAGCCAGCAAGAACATCTGGTTACTTGAATGCTAGAATGCACACACACACACACACACACACACACACACAGCCTTATTACAATGTCACTGGATTCTCTTCCTGTTTTCTGAGGGTTGTTTGCTATGGTGCCCTTAGCCTGTGGTAACTTCTAAGGGCCGTGTGCAGCTTCGATCATTTAATAACCACTGTAGCCGCACTGTCTTTGAATATACAAAGGCTTTATGATTACACTGTGTGCTGGCCAATGACTAAACTAAAAGCGATCTTCCAGCCGTCTGGTCCTTTCCTAAGCCGCTGTGGCTTTGGGGTTGCGGGTAGGAAAGCTCTCGGCGGCGTTGGCTGGCTCTGGGAGGTGAGCTGCGGGGCGGACGGGCTGGCGCTGGCTGGGTCTGGGCCTCGCTAACTCGCTTATCCCCGGCTGCCGTCAGGTTGTTGCACGTCCAGGGCGTGCTCCAAGGGGATGGATGGCTCCGCGGGTCTGGTCTTACCTCTCAGCTGTTCCTGGTCAGCCACATCGCACTGGATGAACAGCGTCTTCTGCGGTTCGAACTGCTCGTCCAGGGCGGCCTTGCACTTGACACCTGCCTCTAGGTTCCAGTCCACCAGCGCCACCTGAACACAAGGGGCGAGGCGCCGCGGCGGTGTGAGCGGCGCCGGGACCTGAACTCCGCGCGCGCGCGCACACACGCGTGCACACACACATGCGCGCGCACCCACACACACGCGTGCACACACACGTCAAGGAACAGCACACTCCCGCAGACTTGCAATGAGGCAGTTAAAGTCCAGCTTTTCCGGCTGCTCAGCAGCAGAGTTTGGAAGGGACCAGCGGGGTGGGGGTAGGGGTTGAACCCCCGAGGAGTGCACCCCCATTTCTCCCCTTACTCCTACCGCTCGGGACCCATCTAAGAACCCGGGCGGGTGTCTGGGAGGTGAGGGGGGGGAGGAGGTGACAGAGAACTTACCTTGGCCCCCTTGAACAGCAGCGCCTCTGCAAAGGCTCTGCCGATGCCCTGCGCCGCGCCGGTCACCAGCGCCACTTTGCCGTTCACATGCATGGCGGGGCGAGGCTGGGGCGCGCGCTGGGCGAGGAGGGCCGGCCGGCTGTGCGTCTCTGCGCCCGCCCGCACGGCCCGCTGCAGCTTTTATGGCCCCCTT